TCTCTGCTTATTGGGTCTGGTAGGTGACGGGCAGTGCCAACACTGGCTTTTCCGGTTTCAGGTACCTGCTGCAGCCGCCAGCTTTCAGGAACTGATAATGTCCAAGCAGACACGAACTGACTGAGGATTATAGAAATAATTCCTACTCAGTGGGGATTGGATTTTCAGACCTCTGAGATTCCTTTCAGTATTGAATCCAATGCTATGAAAAGAAACAAGCACACATACTCAAATCCCCTTCAGCAGAGCTGACATTGGACATGGCAGTGGGTTGTAAGGTGGGATGGCTCTGTGCGGTGGAGAAACTATTGGAGGGTGGAGAGGGGCTGGGGAAATATTCCTAGCAGGCCTCATGAATCTAAACAGTTTGATTTAAAATGTATGGGCATGCAGGTGGGGGCAGGGTGGGAGAACTCCCCCAAGTAGACAAAATACTGCATTTGACCTTGAAGAATAGGCGGCATAGCACTGTTATTTTTCTAATAAGTATGGCATCAAAAGAAAACAGAGGCAGTCTTCCCTAGTTGCCATTACACTATACTGCTTTGACACTTTAACAGCACTAAAACATAAAATGATACTGACTTGTGAGAGATACAAGAAGTAACCCTTTCTGAAACGGCCACAAGGCCCGGAGGTCTCAGTGGTACCAAGGAGGGGTGGTGTCAGGGGTTGCTGAACAGGGTACTGGTTCCAGGAAGAAGCAGTAAAAGCTCCCGGGAGGCTCGGGACCAGCAGAGGTGGCCACAGCGTCCAGGGATTGGTAAGTATTGGATGACCAGATTGGATCATGAGCCCATGCAGGATGCTTAGAGATTTTGCACAACACTTGGGCTATCACAAAGGTAATAAGAGCCAGCGAATATGGGTTTCCTCCCCAAGGTATCGGAGACTTGGAAGATTGGGGAAGAATACTCCCACTGCAGATCAGTGTTCTAAGAGCAGAAGGGGCTCTTCTGGCTTCCGCTGTGACTTTCAGAAACAGGATTTCTTCCCTTCACAGCAGCACAGCAGCCCGTCCCCAGCCACTCTCGGGGAAGTAAGCCAAACTGGGAAGTCAGGAGGCCCTGGGCAGCAGGCGTTTTCTGCAGTGACCTCAGTGGGCATTTGGGCAGTAAAGACACTCATATACTGCCAGGTAACTTAGAGAGGAACTCACAGGTTTTCTTCATGTAAAAGGCCAAGATCCCCATTCATTTGATGGCCGCTTTGAATCTTTCTTTTATTTGAAGAAAAATACACTAAATTTGGAAAACACTGTTCTAATCTGTGATTCCTGTGCTAAAATGTAAAACAACTGGGGGGATGGGAGAGATTTCCAGATAGCAAGTAAGGCAAAGAGGAGGAAAGCTCCGGGACTGGGAGTGAGCAACGCCTCAGCACCTGCTTCCCCCTGAATATAATTTTGGCAAAGCTTGGCTGATTATAGGGAAAGTGGAAATGCCACAAAGATTAGGCACATGCAAAGGTGAGGGGCTAGAGATGCCCCATCTATGAGATGTGTTGCACACTCACACACCTTCATGTGCAGACACAGAACTGTGTTTATGTACACAGGTGCTTTGGATGACTATACCACTAAACACAAAATTTTAATCAAACTTTAAACTGTACAGCTTTATTTTATATTCACCACATAAGAAGGCACTCTCCTGGAATATACCCTTTCACTAAGAAAGTGAGCAAATTTCCTCTTTCCTTCTCTCCTGTGTAACCTGGCTGTTCCAGTCCACTGTACTCTTTCCTAGAAACCCAAGTTCTTGTTTTTCTGCAGCTAAGGTGGGCACTTTCTATATTTACTCACCTTAAAGCTTCTTTTTAAATCAGTTTTCATGGCTCAAGAAAGTGTGCCAATGAACTAGTCTGGTAGCCGGCAAGTCACTGCAAACTTATTGTGACTTGTGTTGAACCTCCTAGATGACCTACATAGATATATGTCTTGTTTTTTTTTTCAATATAAAGCTTCTATTTTTAAGGTGATCTGGAGTATACGTGGAATTCTTTTTCAAATGGAACCGATTACTAGGAGACACAATCAGAAAACCAACCAGGTATTTGATGTGAATTCTTAGGAACTGAAGCTTCGAATCCAGCCGAGAAGTTTGTTACCCTCTTCCAGCTTTGCATTGGACTGTTCCGAGATCATTTCCTCAGCCCCAACATTGTCCAACAGGGCGTGATGTTGGCTGATAACAAGAGACAAGAAAGCATTCTCAAGTTTTGTGACTTTGCTAGGCTCTAGTTTATAGATACCCCCTTACACTGGCATAAATAACAGCCATATGTTCTTTCATAGCCATGGCAGAGTACTGTCCTTGTGGCAGCGACTCAGATGCACATCGTGACTCAAGAGTTGCTGCGTGGCAGCACTGAGGTCAGGGCAAAACTGAGCCAAAGCAGCCACCTCCTGATTCCAGCCACACTGGCTGGCTTCATGGCCCTGGTTTGGGCAGCAGATCAAACTCAGGACACAGACAAACCAACATTAATGGCAGGGTGGATACCTCAGTAGAACAATTCTGTTTCCAAGAAGATCTGTCCCTCAGTGACGGAAATGACATTCGTTGGAATGTAAGAAGGCACATCACCAGCTTGTGTTTCTGTGACTGGTAAAACAGTCAAGGAGCCACCATCAAAAGGATCATTCATTTTGGCTGCTCTCTCTAGCAGATGGAAGGGTAGGTAGAATACACATGAGGATGGGCCTCAGGACCCGGGGATTGGAGCAGCAGCAAAGGCATCTTACGATAAGCAACAGCCTGTTTGGATAAGTCATCATAAGTGATCAAAGCATGTTTGCTATTGTCCCTAAAATATTCCCCCATAGAACAGCCAGAATAAAAAGCAGGCTCTGCAGTGGGGTGGCAGCATCAGAAGCAGTAGCTGACACCACAATGGAGTACTTGGTGGCATCTGCATCTGTAGGTCTCTTCACCAATAGGGTAACAGTGGATCTCTTCTGACCAATAGCAGTGTAGATACATTCTACATTATTTCCATCAAATCCACCATTGAAAACATTTCTGGTTAACAATTGTGTCAATGGCAATTGATGTTTTGTTGGTGTCAGTCACTAGTAATCAGCTCACACTCACCACGACTGACTACTGACTGGCCCCAAGCTGTCCACAGCCTTAATGACAGTCTGCTATGGTCCCCAGACACAGATTGGGAGAAGGATTTCAAGGGCTTTCAGGCCAATTCACCTGTGAGTCTTGGAACCAACTGTACCCTTTCCATAAATGGCATTACCAAAAGCATCTACTACATGACCCAACAGATGCTCACCAATGGGAACATGCATAGTGGCTCCTGTTTGCTTCATAATATCTCCTTTCTTAACTAGTTTATAATTTCTGAGCACAATACCACCAACACTGTCAGGTTCCAAGTTCAGAGACATACCCTTTAAGCCTGAGGAAAACTCTACCATTTCTTCTACTTGAACATTCTTCAGCTCATGTACGTGGGCAATGCCATCACCAAGACTTAAGACATGCCCAGTCTCTTCAAGGTCAACAAAGGTATCAGCTCCAAGAATCCACTCTTCAAGATCAGAGGATGTCTCAGCAGTGCCAGTATTCTGAAGATGAGTGCTAGGGCCACGGGGATTTCTTGCAGCAATGATGACCCCAGGGCGTTTTTGGAGACCAGCCTAGCTGCGGAGGAAGGGAGAAGGCCAAGGCCATGGCCATGGCAACACACATGGAGAGCATTTTTGCAACTTCATGGCAGTTTCTCTGTAGCCACAGTCTCCGTAATGACTAGATACAGTTTTTAATTGTACCTTGAGAGTGGTGGCAAACAGTAGAAAATTTGAGTGTTATAAAAGGCTGAAAAAAACCCTCATTAAATTATTATATTTTTTGTTATTAAATTGTCAAAAATAATAAATTATTAACAAAAGAACTAACTCTTATGAAACACTTTCTAGATGCTAGGCACTGTGCTAAGTGCTTTGCGCGTTATCTATTCAATTGTCAGGACAACTCTGTGGAACAGGTTCTATTTCATCCCTGTTTTGCAGATGAGGAAATTGAGGCAGAGAGACATTGAGCAAATAGCCCTAGATCTGACATCTAGGAGGACATGGTGCATTCAGGGGTTGAACTCATGACCTACCTGACGGTAGAGTCCTTCTCTGTCAGTCAGTGGCCTTTTTTTTTTCCTGGGGAAATGGGTAATGGGGATGGGTGTTAGAGAATCTCAGATTACACCCACAGGATAGTCCTATCTACAGTTTCTCAGGGGAAGGAGGCAGCCTCCAACTTGAGAGGTATCTTAGAGCTTTTGTTTGACGCTAAGAAGTTACGTCACCTTTTTAGACCTGTTTTCTCTTCAGTAAAACAAGGAGGGTGTTCTAGATAACACCTTCAGCATCCCTGCACTAAAACGCCTATCTCTTGGTGCTTGTGAGGAAGAAGCAGGTCAGTTTCTGCATCCTGGACCCTCCAAGCTAGGAGCTGCAGGTACCGTGTCACCTACATAAACTGGTAACAAGAGATGGAGGTTGGACTTTTACCTAAGAAACAAAGAAACAATTGTCTATTGGGCACTGTGTGTTTTAAAGAGATTACATAATTTAATTCTTACAGTATATTTGTGCAGTAGATAGCATTGTGTCCGTTTTTAAAAAATGAAGCTGAAACATAGTCCTACCAAGTGACTTGCCCACTATGGCCCAGTTAAGAAGAAACGAAGGCAGGACTGAAATCACGTGTCTTGACTCCAAAGCCCGGAGCGCATTTCTCAACCTGCGCCTCCTTTAACATCAGTTATGTCATTTAATTCTCACTGCAAGTCTACGTGGTAGTTACCACCTCCCCATGTCACTGAGGAGGAAAGTGAGCCTCAGCTCACTTGCCAAGTAAGGGGCTTGGCTCCGAGTGGGCGGGAGAAGAGGCCACAAGAGCGTGCACGAGCGAGCGGGGGCCGCAGGCAGGCTCCTCCTCTTCACCCTGTTTGGTCGCGCAGCTCCCACCTTTTCAAGTCCCAGGCCCACGCACCGCCCTCCTGGAACTACATTTCCCGACAGGACGCTGGCGCGCGCACGCGCACCGGGGCCTCCACCATGGCGACAGTGCTGTCCAGGGCACTTAAGCTCCCGGGTAAGGAGTGGCCCCCTCGCGACCAACCCTCCCCGACCTGGGCTGGGGAGATGGGGAGGCCAAGATCTGGGGGCGAAGCGGGTCGGGGCCTAGCCCCAACCTGGGCGCAGCTGCGTGCGCGCGGAGGCGAGCGATGCTGTACCCGTGGGCTGGGTTAGTGGCGCCTGGCGGGTCGGGGATCGCCGGCACCCAGCCTGGGAGACCCGCAAGGAGGGATCGCTGGAGGCACGCGGGGCAGGTGGCCCGGAGCAAGCTGACGCTGTTGCGGTGATGACTGTCAGAGCGCGCGTCGCCGCCTTCTCGAGGGTAGGGATGGTGAGGGGCGCATCCTTTCCCCAGTGCGCAGATGGTGTACCGCGGAGTCTCTAGCTCCCTCTCTTGGGTTGCACCTGAGCGGCGGCGGGCGGGCGCAGCAGGACGACGTGTGACCCTCTGGAGCAGCCTGCCCTCTAATTGATGGGTATTTTCTCTCCGAGTTAACAGAAAAGGAAAATGGCAGTTACTTGGCTGATTGGACTAGTCCAAAGTCACGAAGCAGTCAGTACTGGAAAAACCTAGACTTGGACGCCGCGGGTTGTTTTAACGCTAGACCCTGGCCTTTTGATTCCACTTAGCCTCTGGCTGTCTAAGCTGAGCATTTAGGAGGGAAATGATATGGCACTTGCAAGTTGCAGATAAAGTGCAGAATATTTTTTAAAGAAGCACTAGTGATGATGACAGCTTCCAGAGCCAACGCAGTACTTTGGGCAGCCGTCCCAAGTCTTTTGTTTGCTTGTTATTTTGTTTTTAACCTTCAGAATGGAATTGTGCTATTAGAGACTTGCTACTTTAGTAAATGCAGATTCTATTCTGCCGAAATAAAATGTAAACGTTAAGGCTTTAAAAATTTCGTGATTCTACCTAATAAAATTTTTAGACATTAAACTATAAGCATTTGCTGCTAGCTTAAGGGGTTAGTGGGCAGAGCAGTTGCTTTCACAGGCCTTGTTAGAAAGGGCTAGTTGGGTGTCCATCCGGTGGACATCCAGCATAGGATGCAGGGGCTTGCACTCTGCTACATTGAGCCACGGATGACTGTGTTGGGTATGGATTTGATAGGAATTTGCATTCCTGTCTCCAGACTTCATGACCTAAGACTTTCCCCCCACCCCCACATGGGCTTGTTAGAACATTAGAAAGAACATGGATAATATCTACCTTGGAATGTGTAAGTAACATTGAGCTGAACGGGAAGAAATGTCCCTCTACCTGCATAACTGATTAACTTTGAAGAGAGTAGTAGCCTTGTGTATCCTTAGTGTAGGATGATATCCTCCCAAAGGAGGTAATGAGGTGTCAGACATATTTAATTTTACTTCTTTTTTCTTTTAGTTCCACACCCTGCCCCCTGCCCCCCTACCCCCCTGCCAAAAAAACATGAGTAACAGTTACTCTCTGAGGATGGGAATGCCAGAAAATTTTGCTTTCAAAACTCAAGAAAATCTTGCTTTCAAACTCCTGAGCTCTTCTGCATTCCACATCTTGAGGCTGTGGTAATTTTACCCCCGGGGGTATTCAGTTGCAGTAGCCCCGTCATCTGATAGGGTAGAGAAACCACAGCCTGGTCCTTGGGCCTATGTTTGGGCAGCGGCTTGCCCTGAGCAGTCAGGTGAGTTTGATATAAGTGAGTTTGATACTTTTTAATGCCCAGATTAGCCACACATTCTTTGATCTGATATGGGTTGGTACTTTGTTTCGAGGTTTGTTTTTGTTGTCGTTGGCTTTTACTTCAGTTATCTCTTGCCTTTTCTCCCTTCTACCCCAAATACAATTTTTAGCTTTTATATTAAGTAAAATTTGTTTTTGGATACACTGTCATTGCAGTTGTGAAACTGCTGTCCTGTTTGGGTTACTGTGTCATGCTACTTTAGTTAACGTCCTCACTATTCTTTTAAGGGGGCAGAAGTGACATATATAACATTATATTAGTTTTAGGTGTACAGCACAACGATTCAGTATTTGTATGTATTGTGAAATGATCGCCACAGTGGTGTCCTCCCTATTTTTATGTGTAAGGAAGCAGAACAGAATGGCAACTAAGAGCATAAGACAGGCTTGAATTCAAATCCAGTCTTTATCAGATTAGTTACTTAATCTCTTTAAGCTTTAGTTTCTTCATGTATAATAATACTATTATGGTACATTCACTCTGTTCCACACACTACTACATATTGACCTCATTGGATTATTTAGCAAAGTCAAAGAGATGGATGTACCTGAGAGGTTTGTTAATCTTGACATGTGCTAGTTATTCAATAAGTGTTAGCTATTATTATTATCATCATTAACTCCATACTGGAAGGAAGGCCGATGTAATAGTGAGATAATGACAGATGTCCTCAACCTTGTGAAGAAAGAGCAGTGGCTGGGACTGCACTTCACAGTCTCATACCCTTCCACTAAGCCCATGATGGAAGGATGTTTGGCCCACATGCATAGAATGAGGTTAATTAATAACAGAAGGACAGCATAACCTTTATAAAGCAGCCTGTGAGACTGTTTATCTTTTAAGTATATATCTTTTTCAGTTCATTTTAAAGTTTGAAGGTCAAACACTGAAAGGAACATCAGCATAATGTTATTGCAATAATTTGTTTTATTATGTGTAACTTGGAACGATCATGTGCCCTGCCTGGGTAAACGAATCCATGATGTGAATTATTTATCTTTAGTTGCAGTAGAGTGTGTGGCATAGTCTATGTAATGTATAGTACAAGTCACAGAATAGTATATATTATAGTGTGTTCTTGGGAACCTTTGGGGATGGCACAGCTGCATGTCTTTCCTATTTACGTTTTCCTCCACACTGTTTTGGGAGTGGTGTGTAACTAGTGTCCTCAGTCTTTCTACAGGGAAAGCGGTAGCTATGGAAAGCTCGTTTGCATTGATGTATTGTGAAATGTGTCTTCTCCCCTATTCTTTGAAAACTTTTCATTCGTTAAAAGTGTGGGTGGTGTCTGAAATCATCAGAGAAGAGAGTGCCAGAGTGCCCTGAGCTTAGGAGCATGGTTTTGATGTTAGCTCCTCAGCCTAAAAGGCTGATGTTTATACACCCTTACTGTCTTTCTGTGAAACAGAAAAAAGCGTTCACTTAGGAGTTCTCTAATCAAAACTTGCAGTCTGTTATAATTAAGCAGAGGTTTGTCTTTGAACTTTCTGGAAAAATATGTACTATTAATAGTGTAAAAGTAAATATTTATTTTAAGGGTTTGGACAAGAATTGGTCCTCGTCTTTTGTGATCTTTAAAAGAAAGACACAAGAGTGAGATAGCCTGTGAGTTCTTGCGCACTTGCCTTTACACTTCCCAAATATTGTGGCTGGACCAGAGTTCTTGTACTTCACAAGAACATTTACATATTGTGGCATGGTCTCTTTTCTTCTGAGAAGTTTTGCAGATTGTGGCATGGTCTTTTAGGGATGTATGTCAGTGTGGAGAAGTCAGTCTGATTTTTGTTCCCATCATTAGTGACTTGATTCTTTTTCCCTTGGCCTGGCTACTCATATGTTTCTTTCTTTGTCCTTGAAGTTCAATGACTTTACTAGACTATGCCTCAGTATTGATTAACCTCTATCAGTTTTTCTTGAGACTCATTGTATTCTTTATACTGCAGTTTTAGGTCTGGCTTTATTGAAGGAACTTTTTTTGGTATATCTTTTTATTTTGTTATTTTTTTCTTTACTCCTCACCCAAGGATATATCTATTGATTCCAGAGAGAGAGGAAGAGAGGGAGAGAGACATTGATGTGAAAGAAACATCTATTGGTTGCCCCAGCTCAACCCTCTGTACATGCCTTAACTGGAAACTGAACCCACAAACCGGGCATGTACCCCGACTGGGAATTGAACTTTCAGTTCATGGGACGATGCTCCAAACGACTGAGCCACACTGGCCAGTGCTGTATATCTTTTAAATACTGCTTTTGGTTCAATTTTTCCCCCTTTTTCTTCTTCAGTTATGCATTTATTGGATCATCTTTGTTTTCTATAGTTATCCCTTTTTTCCTAGTCCTAGTACAAGCCTTGCTCATTTCCATGGAAGGCACACCGGTAGTCAGTACAGACTTCAAAGCCAGATTGTCTGGGTTGGAATTCTTGCACAGTCACTTACTTGCTGTTTAGCTATGGGCCAGTTAGATAAATGTCCAAACCTCATCTTTAAAATGGAGATAATAGGGTGCCTAGCTCACAGAGCTGTTACGAAGACTTCCTGAGATAAGACAGTAAAAGCCTCGAAAGGGTGCGTAGCAGGGGCTCAGAACTGCCAGCCGTGGTTACCTCCATTTCATTTTCCTTCACTTTCACCAGTGTGTCCTTCATTGTCTCTGACTGTTTTCAGTGCCTGTTATTTCTGCCGAGCCCAACAAAGATGTTGTTTCTAAAATTGTTTTGTCATTATCTTCCATTTTTCTGTGCCCTGCTTCTCTACTGAAGTATCATTTCTTCTTAGAAATACATTTTTTTCAGAGAAGGCCAGTTTCTTTAATTTCTTGGATCCCATGGGGAAGTACCCATTCATTATTTCTTACATTTCATGGTGTCATTTGTTCGGCCTTTGTTCTTTAGTTGGTTTTGTTTGATGTTTTGTTGTAACTTCTTTCTTGATTATTTGTAGAACTTCATAGTATCTTACAGAATGACTCCTAGTGATGGCCTCCTTCTGACCGTGATTCATATTTACACGGGTGGTTGTGTGACAGTGGGCAGAGGCAGGGGCCAGAGGAGCGAACTAGGGTAATCGGGATCAGAATACAGTGTAGGCCTGCTAACTCAGATTCCTTTTTTCCCAACTGCCGCTCCTTGGTGGATGTCACTATCCCGGCTAGCAGGGGGCTGCCAGTTTGTTACGGGGCCCCTGTGTGCCAACTTAGCATTTACTTCTCTTTGTTTCTTCTGCCAGTTATTAAATTACTGCTCCTGAAAGTGGATCTGGGCCCATTTATTTTTTATTTTTTAATCCTCATTCAAGGATGTATTTTTATTGATTTTAAAGAGAGAGGGGAAGGGGAAGGGGAGGAAGAGAGGTCGGGGAGAGGTCGGGGAGAGGGAGAAACAGGGATGGGCCGCCTCCCATGCACAGCCGGACGCCTGCCACCTGCCACCTGCCAGGGGGTCCGGCCTGCAGCCTTTCTGTTGTAAGGATGACTCTCCAACCAACTGAGCCACCCAGCCAGGCTGGGACATTCATTTCTAAATCAAACATTTATTGACTTTCTATGAACCAAACGCTAGACTTGACACTAAAGATTTTACTTCCTGTAGGCCCTGGCCGGGTGGCTCAGTTGGTTAGAGCATCGTCCCAATACACCGGAGTTGTGAGTTCGATCTCCAGTCAAGGCCCACGTAAGAACCAACCAATGAAGCATAAATAAGTGAAACACCGAACTGACATCTCTCTCTCCTTCTCTCCCTGTCTTCCTCTATCTCTAAAATCAGTAATAAAAAATATTTTACTTCCCGTATTGTGTTTTATTGCTTCATTTCATGTCTTGAGCAAACTGAGACATAATATATGAAATGATATCACCAAGATCACAGTGACCAGAGGTAGAGATAAGCATCAAGAATTCCTTTTTCCTTTTAAATTAGATTTTCACATTTCTTCTTAATAGAACATTTAAAGTAGCATTTACATTAGTAACAGCTTACCAAGTACTTTCCAAAACCAGAAACGTTTTCTTGGCTTCTACTTGGCTTTGACATGAAATAAAGGATAAAATCATCCAGTCACTGGCAGCGAGGGCCAAGGGGTCACTTGCGGGGAGGTGTGTGCACGCCCGCCTGTAATTTCCACCTCTCCGCCACCCCAAATAAACATAAGGTCAAGTGAAAACAGGCCCTTGTTGTGTAAACCTTCTTTAAGAGCAGCCCTCTACCTCTTCGTTCCTGCTCAACCCCAACCCTCCCAGAATACCTGCTCAGAACAGCATTTTTAGACATAAACGCTGTTTACTAAAACAGGTACTTGGAAGGGCATCAGACTCCCAGGAAGGTTCTCAGGAGTGAATTCCCAGTGAAGCCTCTCCAGGTGGCATTTAGAGTTCATCTCAGTTGTTTCGTGGAAACAATTGGAAGCCACCAATACCGGACTGTGAGAGGCATTGTAGAGAGAATAAAATTGTTTTAGAAGTTTAGGGAAGTCCCAGGAAAGATTGGAGCACCACATTCCTAAGAAACTAGAAGGTTTTACGGAAGGCATATGGAAGGTTGATGATGTAAGAGCCATCATCTTTCTCATTAGAGAGATTCAAACAAATTAAAAGAGGTTTTAAATAAACAAACAAAAAAACCTAAAAAGGCACTTGAAATTTGCTTTCTCTTTTCCTTTCCAATTTCTTAAACTCATGCAAGTAATATTTCTTGAACTCTGTGAGTTTCCTTCCTTCCAGCCCCCCGCCCCCATTCTTTCCTCCATGCTGGTGTCTATTTTACAGAGCCACAAAGGTCCCGGCTTATAAATCTGCTTTGTTTCATTTTGTGTCATGCTGTGTATTTTCCTAAGTGCTGAAGTTGCCATGTGCTTGGTGAGGGTTTCTCCTTCCTTGTTCTCCTTGAAGCTTCTCTTTCTGATTTTTCAGGGAAGAAGAGCCCAGACCTCAGCGAGTATGACCCCCTCACGCAGGCCGACAGTGACGAGAGTGAAGATGATCTCGTGCTGGACTTGCAGCAGAAGAATGGAGGGGTCAAGAATGGGAAGAGTCCTCTGGGGGAAGCCCCAGAGCCCGACTCCGATGCTGACCTTGCAGGGGCTGCAAAGCCTCACCTTTCCGAGGTCATCACGGAGGGGTACCCCTCGGAAGCCCTCGGAGGCCTGGAGCCGAAGGCAGCTTCCTCCCTCGTGTCCTACATACGCACATCTGTGTTTCTGCTGACTTTGGTGATCTCAATGATCCTGGTGCTCGTGTGTGCTTTCCTGATCCCCTGCCCGCCCAGGGATCTGCACAGCACTTGGAGCCGCCGCCTGCACCCCCAGGGAGGTGAGTTGTAGGATTTTCAGCCCTAATTTTGTAAAGCTTCTGATTATTGCATTGTCCTTGAGTCTCCTCCAAGTCCTTAAAAACTAGTGTGTGTCATGTAGCATCTCTGCCCCTGTGGGTAGAGGTGCCTTTAGGAGCTTAAGACTTGAAATCAAACAAAAAGATGGATTGATAACTTGGGAAGATCATTGCTTTGTTGTGTTTCTGTTGGCCTTGTTTTTTTTAATTTTTATTTTTCAGTTGTGGCTTATTTTCAGTATTATTTTGTATTGGTTTTAGGTGTACAGCATACACCTGAAGAGAGTCGTACACTTTACAAAGTGGTCCCCCCAATATTTCTAGTACTCACCTGGCACCATACATAGTTATCACAACATTATTGACTTATGTCCCCTACCGTACTTTATATACCTCCCTCTGACTGTTTTGTGACCACCAATTTGTACTTCTTAATACAATAGAGTATTATTCAGCCATAAAAAAAGAATGAAATCTAACTATTTGGGACAGCATGGCTAGACCTAGAGGGTGTTACACTCAGTGGAAAAGCCAGTCAAAGACAAATACATATGATTTTACTTTTATGTGGACTCTAAGGAAGAAAACAAACAAACAAAACTGAAGCAGACTCAGACACAGAGCACAGAGTGGCGGTTGCCAGAGGGGAGGGGGACCGAGTGAATGAGGTGTTAGTTGGTCTTCATTAGACATAGATGACAGAGTATTGGTTCGCTGGCTTCCTGATGCAGCCAGCGCCATGTCAGGGCAGAGCAAAGCAGTGGGAAGGGCCGCTTAAGAGAAAAGTACGGCCCCAGGCCTGGCCAGACCAGGAGCCAGTGCTCCTGTGGGACCTTCAGGCAGTTGTTGATCACAGAAAGCTGACTTAATTTGAAAATTAAAATAATTGTTTAAAAATTTTCTAATGTTTATTATTTTCATTTTCTAAAATTTATGAAATAATTTATTTTCAAGTAAAAGAGAGTTGCTTTCTTGTAGCAACTTTTCTTCCTTGTCCCTAATGGTCAGTTAAGATGGTGCTTCCCAGGTCATTCTAGCTATTTTGTCTCATTTTTGGAGCAAGACTCTTTCAAATAGCTTGCCCTGGGCCAAGAGTGGGGATTGCATCTACAGCGTCAGTGCTGAGCAGTCAGCCCTGTCTTTTGTAAACTGCGTGAGGCCAAAAGGATTCAGAACACACCAGCCTCAAATAGGTCGCTTTGGCATATTGATTATTTGGGACATAAAAGCACTTGAACAGCAGCAGGTGCAAGAAGGCCACTCTGGCTTTCAGTTCTTACTAAAATCAAGAGGTGAAGCTCCCACGTGAGAGATGTTCTTCCTGTACCGGCAGGAGAGAAACGTTCTTATCACCAGAGACAGGACATGGAGGCCAAGAGAAATGTGTACAAGCAGACCTTTTTATTTATTTATTTTTTAATTGTATTTTATTGGTTATGCTATTAGTTTTCCCAATTTTCTCCCTCTATTCCCCCTCCACTCTGCACCCCCAACCCTCCAGCATCGCCCCCTTAGTTCATGTCCATGGGCTGTACATATAAGTTCTTTGAGTCCTCTGTTTCCTATACCATTTTGACCCCTCCCCGTCTATTTAATGCCTATCAATTATGCCTTTTCTTCCCTGTACCTTTTCTCCCCCATTCCTCCCTTCCCCTTCGACACTGAAAACCCTTCATGTGATTCTGTTCCTGTTCTTGTTGTTTGCTTAGTTTTTGTTTTCATTGTTTTTCTTTTCTTTTAGGTTCATTTGTGAGTTTGTTGTCATTTTATTGTTCATATTTTTGATCTTCCTTTTCTTAGATAAGTCCCTTTAATATTTCATATAATAATGGCTTGGTGACGATGAACACCTTTAACTTGACTCTATCTGGGAAGCACTTTATCTGCCCTTTCATTCTAAATGATAGCTTTGCTGGATAGAGTAATCTTGGATGTAGGTCCTTGCCTTTCATGACTTCAAATACTTCTTTCCAGCTCCTTCTTGCCTGTAAGATTTCTTTTGAGAAATCAGCTGAAAGTCTTATGTGCACTCCTTTGTAAGTAACTGTCTCCTTTCCTCTTGTTGCTTTTAAGATGGTCTCTTTGTCTTTAGTCTTGGGTAACTTAATGATGATGTGCCTTGGTATGTTCCTCTTTGGGTCCAACTTCTTTGGAACTCTCTGGGCTTCCTGGACTTCCTGAAATTCTATTTCCTTTGCCAGATTGGGGAAATTTTCCTTCAATTGTTCAAATAACTTTTCAATTTCTTGCTGCTGTTCTTCTCCTTCTGGCACCCCCTATAATTCGGATATTGGAATGTTTCAGGTTGTTCCAGAGATTCCTCAACCTCTCTTCATTGTTTTGGATTCTTCTTTTTTCATTCTGTTCTGGTTGGATGTTTATTTCTTCCTTTTGTTCCAAATTGTTGCTTTGAGTCCTGGTTTCCTTCCTCACTGTTGGTTCCCTGCATATTTTGCTTTATTTCATTTTGGGTGTCTTTCATTTTTCAACCAACCTCAATCAGTTCTGTGAGCATTTTGATTACCAGGGCTTTAAAATCTCCATCAGATAGGTTGGCTGTCTCCTCCTCCCTTAGCTCTCTTTCTGAGCTTTTGCTCTGTTCTTTCATTTGGGTCCCATTTCTTTGCTCGGGCCCCTGATAAGTTGTAAAGAGGGCGGGGCTTAGGTATTCACCTGAGCAGGGCAAACCAGCACTGCAGTGCTGCCTGTGGGGCAGGGACCAGAGAGGGAAGGTGTTGCTCTCTTGTTCGTGTCTAGCGCACTCTTCAAGGAACTTGTGTGAGACTGGGAGTTGTGGCAACCGTGGTAGCCCACAGCCCTCTCTGAGTCTCAACTTCCCCTTAAGTCAGCCCCGTCCCCGAAGCCTGCCACCTCACCGCAGCCAGCCCGGTCTGTGCTGTCCATGGCCTCACCGCGGTTTCTCTCCATCCGCCCGCTCATCAGTCTGGTTGTTCTGGTTGATGTTTTCTTTAATTCCGTGGTTGTCAGAATTTCATGCAGTTTGATTTTCTGGCACTTCTGGTTGTTTATTGATTTTAGGTTGGTTGTTTTTCTCCTTTTGGTTGTGCAAGGAAATGAAGGGCTTCTGCCTATGCCTCCATCTTTGCCGGAAGTCTAGATTCTCTTCTTCCAAACAGACCTTTTTAAAATACCTCTTATCTTCCTCTAGTCTCCACATATATTTTAGTTACTTTTTACAGTTGCCTCTCTTATTGAACCTGGTATATAAGCTCTTGGGCCTGGCCACTGCTGGGTCTTCATTTTCTTGTGGGACCTTCTAGTACGTGTACAGGTTTATTAAATAAAATTTAAATGTTTTCCTCATTGATCTTTGTCAGTCCCAGCTAGAAACCCTACCAGGGCAGAGGAGCAGTTTTCCTTCCCCTACGGTAGTCCCACACCCCATACTGTCTTGGTCTAAAATATTTCATCTCTGACATTTCTGTGATCCTAGTCGAATTAGCCTCTGATGAGTTCTGTGTTCTCATCTTTACTTTCTCTTAAGGGGAAACTGGGTGACTATGACTTAAGTTATATCTCTACAACATAGAACATCTCTTCCTTTCTTTTTTGATTTTTCTAAGTGAGCTCTGTAATACTTGGTATATAGATACAGTGTAAAAACTAGTAACAAACTTTAGGCATCTCCAACACCCAGCCTAGGAAAATAGGACATTGTAATGACCTCTGAAATCCCCATGTGTCCCTGTGGAGTGTGTCTCCCTACTCTCCTGAGTTGACTTTTTTTTACTTTATAGTTTTACCACATATGTGTCCATAAACTGTGTAGTCTCTAATTTTACCTAGTTTTGAATTTTATATAAATATAATGTAGTCTGTTGTGAGTGGCGTTTTTGTTTAACATACCAAAAAGTATTTTTGTGGTTCACTTGAACTGAGGTGCCGAGTGTATGCTCATTTTCACCACCGTATGATTTTCCACGGTAGGTCTAGCTTATGATTTATTGATCCATTTTGCTGTTGGCAAACATTTATTTAGGTGGCTTCCGTTTAAAAAAATAATGTTACTAAGAAAATTCTTGTGCACTCTTGTACATATTTCCTGATGCAGTATATAAGAATTTGTCTAGGGCATACACCTAGGAGTGAAATAGCTGGGTCATAGGGTATGTGCATGTTCAACCTCAAGTTTCCCACAGTGGTTTTACCAGGGTACACTTTCACTAGCTGGGTGTGAATTCTCTCCGGATTTGGCAGGTGCCCTCTGACTCCTCCCTGTTTGGGGTGGAGCGTTGCTTGTCACTGCCGGGTGGAGATGGAAGTCCAGGCATCCCCTAAGCCTCTGCTGACACCACCCCAGTGGGGGAAAGAGAGGGGGACCAGGCTCCCTCATTAGGGCTGGGTGGGCTAGAACTAGAGGCTCCCTACCTGGCCTTCCCTGACATGACCCTGGTGGACGAAGGAGGGGTGCCTTGTTGCCACTGGCAAGGGTGAAAGTCTAGGCTCCGTACTTGGCCTTTGTTGTGGGGGTGGGCTTTCAGTTTTGTTTGCGTTGTTTGGCTGGGCTAGAGCAGTTATTATCTAAAACATTTCTGTCTTGCCAGCCTAAGGAAGCCAGCTTTTCCAGGGGCCTTTCGTCTGTACCTGTTGGCTTTCGTGGGTTGCAGGCTTCTGCAGTGCCTAGTCTGGGATAGTTGAGGCCCAAAAAACCTCCCCAGGGGGTCATCACCTTGTCATTCCTTGGGTCTCACAGTCCCTAACTGCCCTGCCCTCTCCCCAGCTTCCAGAGTCTTCTTATATTTGTTTTATGTATAATGTCCAGGGATTTCATCTGCGTTTAGTGAGAAATAGGCAGAACCATGTCTACTCTCTCTTACCTAGGAACCAAAAGTCTGCCTGATTTTTATGGAAGTGCTGGAACTCTGTGTTCATTCCTTTTTTAACCAGTTTGTGGCAACTTGCTAAGGGTTTTTTTCATTGTGTTTATCAGGTGGGGACCTGTCTCCTTTGGAGTTGGCCGATGTGAACGGCGATGGCCTGCGTGATGTACTTCTCTCCTTTGTAACTGCAAGGAATGGGAGTGCAGTCGGTAAGAACTCGACTTTTGGAGGCTGCTACAGGAGGCGCTCGTTGATTGGAGGGGCTGTGTGCTAAGCGAGGGCATCCTGAGGGGCGCCGTAGAAAAGGGTCTGCATCAGTCACCGTGGGTCTTGTCATACAAGATAAACCCTATCAGCAAGTTCCTGCGTTTAAGTAAAGCTCATTTCAGGAAATCATGAGCCCTATAGCTGGAAGGAACTTTTAGTGGTCGGCAGTCCCGTGAAGAAGCTGACATCTGGAGAGGAAGTGCTTTGCCCACCCACCTGCAGTGCTCACCGTCAGTTCTTAGGTTTCTTGAGTTTTCTCCCAGTCAGTGTTTCATAGCTTCTTCAGTTATAATGAACATTGGCGATCCTACCATCCCACCCCGGCAGAAAGCTTTTGTTCATGTACTAATATATCTTCCACACTTACACCTTAACTGGGTGTTTTCCTATTACTCCTTCTCTTTACTCCTTTGTCTCAGCTCTCCATTCTGCTGTCTGCTTGGCAAGGCTGACCTGTGTGAGTTATGACAAGGGTCTCCCTTGTGTGCAGACTTCCAATTGGGTTTAGCCAATGGGAAGCACAGGCAAGAAACTGGAGGAGAGGAAGGGAGCCAGGAGAGAGTGTGCATTCCTCTGGCCCCGTCCCACTGCCGTTACAGTCTGGCTGCATCCTTGATCCCAGGTCGCAGCTCCTGTCGAGGTGGTCCTCTTACAGGACTTCCTGGATTCCAGTAGTCACTTCCTCCACTGTTCCACTGGGCCTGGGAACAGGAACAGTTCTGAGGTTCCCTGCGCCCTAACCACATCTGTCTCTTGATTAACCCTTTCACAACCTACCCTGATTGAGTGTGACATTTCCTGGAATCCTGAGACCCCAGCTGTTACACGTGTCAACTGGGAAAAAAAGTGCTGCATTTGTGGCACAGGCACATGAGGGCTTTGGTTTGTCTTGCGGCCTCCATTGGGCACAACACGAACCAGCCTGATTTGGCCATAGATTGTAAAAAGACCAACATATCTACATATGGCACTTTCTATGTGCTGTGCACCACTGTAAGTCCATAGCATATATTATGGATGAATTCATCCCTCAGCTCAGTCCCATGCAGTGGACTAATATTATTATCCCCCGTTTGCAGATGGGGAAACTGAGACAAGTGAGGCTAAGGAACTTGCTCAATATCCCCAGCCGGTAAATGATAGAGCTGGGCTCCAAATCCTGGGAATCTGGCTGTGGAGAGTTCAAGTTCTTGACCCTCTTATCAAACTGCTATGCACGAAACTCCAGACACTGGGTTAAAAAATCTGTGCTACTGAGCATGAGAAGGATTGTGTTTTTTTATTTGTTCTGTCACTCATCCATTCATTCAGTGACTGGGTATTGAATGCCTGCTGTGTCCTCATGTGGAGCTGTGCTGGTTATATTGAGCGAAACAAAATGAGTGTGGTCTTTGCCTCAAGGAGTCACAGACTGGTGGGAAAGGGATAACCCATCATCATCCAGAAAAAGATGAGTCAGGGAAGTCTGTAGGGCCCTGAGGGAGGAAGGAAGAAGCACAATACATTAATCACAGCATCCCGAGAAGTCTGAGCGTTAACATTTGTCACCACGATTTGTCACCACAATTTGTCACCTGTATTACTGCTTCTGGCAACCAACGCTGAAAGAGTGAGCTACCACTTGTCCCTTGTTTTTAAGTTGTCTGTTTAATCAGCAGCACTGAGGCACAAGTACCGAGTGCTGGAGGGGAAAGTGTGTGAGATGGGTCAGTACCCCACACAGACAGTGAGTGTAAAGCTGGCGCCAGAGAAGGTTATTATTCTGCTCTGTTAACTGACATAAAATACAGGGCCCAGCAGAAGTGACGCCTGCTTGAGTGTCATTGGTAGGATAATAATATGAGTGTCATAATTTTAGTTTTAATTTAAACATTTCACCTAAAATGTCATATGGTGTGCTTGACTGTGATATTGTTATATTATAGAATTATATGCTTATGATGTTGTAATAAAAGCTTTTGTAATAAAAGGGGGCATTATTTATGCCAGATCCTGTATTATTCATTAAAGAGGCAAGCTACTCGAATTCTTTACCAGCTATCCTTGGGCCTAGGTATTAAGTTTTTCCAAGTATTCTGTCCTGACTGGGGCCAAATCAGTTACTGCCAACTAACTCTAAACCAGGAAGACCTACTGATTTTTGCTAAATGTAATCTTCAGGTTTATTTTCTAAAATATTTTTTTCTGCTCTCAGGGAGCATTTGCTAATGATTAGAATTCAGAGCTCCCTGCTCTGCAGACATTCTACTTTAGCCTCACTTTTCTGAGCACACCTTCCCCCTCCTGTTTTTTTTTTTTTTGTTATTGTTCTCAGTAACTAGTTTTTCCATATTCTTGATTTTTTGTTGCTCCTTTTTTAAATTTAGAAGACAGTTGGCTGCTACTTCTCAAGTACTTTGTACGCCACTGAGGGTTCAGAACTTAATGCCTTAATTAATGTCTTTGTCCTTAAGGATATCTGTGTTCTGTGACACTCGGGTGACAGACACGGAAACACGTGTGTTGGGAGAGGTGCGAGAGTAGAGTTCCATGAGGCAGCCCGGAGGGGGGCCATGGCTCTGGTCCTGGCGAGAGTGTGTTGAGCAGACACGACAGGTACTCCGTTTTCGGACCTTGGTGCCGGAAACATGGGAGAGAGCTGAGCACACAGGTGTGGGCTGCTGCCTTCCCAGCATTTATTCTGGCTTTCCGGCCTCTTGCTCATCTCCGTCTCTTATTTTCTCTGCCTCCTTTCTTTTTTTCTTCTCTCTTTTGAATGCTTCCAGGTGTCTCAAGGCCAACTGCTGTTCTCGTGTGCCTTTCGGGGATGAATGGCAGCACACTCTGGTCTAGTCCCCTCCCTGAGGAGGCTCGAGATATTACATGTTTGGACCTGCTGCCAGGAAGCATGGCTGGGACCATCTGCCTTGTGACAGGGACACACAAGATGTTCAGTGCATTCAACGCGACAGCAGGTAAAGATCATTTGCCACAAAAGATTTCTGCTCCAGTGAGCCCTAATCTAAAATAGAACAATCTGGTGAGCATCGTACCTTTCCACTCTCACATGGCGGAAAATCTCACCCACTACTTTGGAAGGCGTTATTAAGGGAGACAGCAGAAGAAGGGTAACAGATTGAGTGCTCCTAGATCCATGGTTTAACCTGAACAGAAACTGCCTTAAGGTCTCTGATATCTAAGTGGTCTCCCTCCTCAGTCATTTGCACAAAAGACAGCTGAGCACTATCTCTTCGTATTTGATATATGTAGGGCCCATGTGTAAACTCGGGCTTTAACTACTTAAAAATACGCCAGTGAAGAAAGTGAGGTTTGTTGAGGCATGTCAATTGGGCCTTTTATCTTCTTATTGCATTCAGACATACACGACCCAAGGAACGAAAAGGAGTTGCGTATGAGGGCTGTCTGCAGAGTCATAAGTATATTGCAGGTGTGCTCATTAACACCTTAGACTCAGGTGGAGCTGAATAAATTTCATCCTTTCCAGTTTTAGAGGTTAGAGTTTGGTCCTGAGGTACTTCAGAGTAAAAATAATGGAATTCGAGTTAACTTTAGAATTGAGGTCATCTTAAAAATCTCCTACAATTTTTCTACTCGTGAACACAGATAAGGGGAGAGAATTAGTCTTCTGGTTGGCCACCCCAGGGGTTCCGTAATAGTTGTAATAACCTCTAACAGGTCAATTCCTCTGTCCTAGACAAGTGGGCTACTCTTGTTACTGAACAGAAATGGGGGTTTGGCTGCCCACTGCCACCAAAAGGTGAACTTGAGAGAAACTGGTGAGAAAGGAAAGGTTTTTATTTAGATGCTGAACAAGCTGGGAGAACCCGTCTCAAAGCTCATCTCTTCTGCACGACCCAGACAAAGCCCAGCCATCCTCAGCAAGATTGAAACAAAAGGCAGTGCACAGAGTTCCTGCTACATCTTAAATGACTGTCCTTTGGAGCCCAAGGTGGCTGTCAGTGATCATCCGAGTAGCTTAGCGTGTTCTCAGCTGCTGTCTGGCTTCAGTCTCCTTCCCGGAGGGGGGCTCTGTGTGGAGCTGGTGCTGCAGCTTCTAGAGCCACAGGGTCTCACAGCTGCTGGGCCAGAGAGCACGGTGAACACATTGGTGAGGGCTCCACCAGGTCAGTGGGAGAGACAGAGACTCCCTCCTGGGGGCCATGGGCCATGTGACTGCTGAGGTCATGTGGTCCCCGGAGAGGACAGGCCAGTGCACTGTCTGAGTACAGATCCTGAACAGCGAGCAAGGAGCAAGAGAGTTTCTTTCTTCCCCTGGGTTTATGTTAGTTTTGGATGTGGGATGGACCAGGTTCTTTTGAAGAATGATCAGTTAACTTCTAAATTTTTGTGGGCTTTGGGTAGGTGCGCCTCCTGAGCAATCCCTTCTTTCCCCAGGCCGGACTGACAGGCCTCTTTGGTCCAGGACCTCCGCCCCTGCTGCCGTTTTAACTTCTATTGCACGTGCCTTCCTCCAGTCAGTCCCACTGTCAGTCTGGTACTGGAATGGGGCACAGTGCATTTTCCCTCTATCCAACTATCTTGCTAGCCTTGTGAGAGCTTAGTGTAAGAACCTCTTCTTGTTGCCATGGCTGATGGGGGAGACTCCCACGGTGCTCCATCAGCTCTGCACCTCCCATGCCCTGGTCCCTGTCTGAAGCAAGTTGCCCACACTCGGAGCCCACTGGCAGAGAGCGACTGAACTAAAAGCCTAAGTAAGGAGACCCTGGGGACACCACTCGGCCTCTCAGGCAGCACCGAGTCTTGCAGAAGTGCTGTGAGACGCAATGTCCTTGCCATGACCCCGGGTGGTTTGCGAAGGTATTGTCTGGCTTCCCGCCGTGTCCTCAGTACCCCGAGGAGCGTGGCTCAGTGGCTCCCAGGTTCCGTACCCAGGGCCTAACTCCATCTGCCCTGGCGACCCCTTCCATTTCCTACCCTGAGCCCTGTCCCAGATGTCAGACAGGCTGTCTATTGGTATCACTCTCTCCTGGAGAGACTTTAGTGCCTCCATTTTACCTAAAAAACCAAGCTGTGACATTATTACATGGGTTTGTTAGCTAGATACTTAAGGGTTTCAGCTCACACTCCTTGCTTCCTTCCTCCCCTTTTAGTTAGATAAAAACTAAAGGAAAATGGAAGTAGGAGTTGGTGTCTGTTGTTCGGCCACTGAGTTTCTTTTTTTCTGGCCTGGGGATTTAGCAGCTGCCTCTTCCAGAGGCAGAAAGCCGTCATTGTGATCAGCGTATTTGCCCTCCCCTAGGGAAGACTATCTGGACTTTAAACCCGAACTACTTAGCCAACAGTACCCTGGCTGCCCCAGGGGTGGTGCTGCCGGACGTGGATGAAGACGGCGTTCGAGATCTTGTGGTTCTGGCTGTTGGGGAATCACAGGTAGGCTGCATATTCAGTGGTCCTTGTTTCTTACAGAGAATCCTTCAACTTTAGCTAGTTCTTGGTATTGTTATTATAAATGCTGCTTGAAACCTCTTATTGTAAGAGCTTAGATTTAAATAAATTTGCCTTGTGAAATTAAATGGATAAATGATCATTCTGCACCCATTTCCCCCGCAGTCTCACTGTGGCTCCATTGACCGTGGCATGGTAGGGCTGTGCCGCCAGGGAGATCTGTGTGTGAAGTCGCCCTGTCACTCTGTAGCTTTGTGGCCTCGGTGAGCCAGGAGCCTGCCCACGCCCGGGCTTCTTCCCACGTGCAGTGGGGCGTCAGAGCCGTCCTATTCAATGTGCCCAGAGTAGTGCCTCTGCGTACGTCTAGTTCTGTCATGTTTAACTCTTGTTGCAACTGTAAAACAAAAGACAGACTGATAGAAAGTTTATAAAACAAATATATAGAAACCAATGTAGAAAAAATTATAAGTTGACAAGAAATAACAAAATGACCGAAGAAAAGAGAGCTCTAGTTCAGGCTGCGACAGCACAGACCTCCGTTCTGGGGCAGGGGTCCGAGCCTTCCGCTCCCGCCTCAGGCCTCCCTGGGCCGATTATCCTCCGCCCAGTGAAGTGACTGTTGGGGAGCGTTTCTCCCTGACTCACAGGACTGATGAACGTAATTATCTCAACCTTAAGTCTGTATTCCTGAAGTTTCTCTCGGAGCTTCTGTGAAAGTCTCTCTAAGATTCCCTAGTGTGCATCTGCCAGGGGATGGGTGTGGAGAAAAGAATTGAACAACTTGGAGAGAATAGTTGTTGAAAAGGGTGGATACAGATCATTTAGTCTCATTTGATCATTTTAATTTTAATAGACCTTGTGTTTGCTGTTGTGATTTTTGTAACGCATATGTGGAGTGGAGTTGTAAAATCTGCAAGTACTGCTATTTAGAAAAAAGAATTAAATCCATCAGTATTTTATCATTTTCTGCCTAGAGCCCTGTGGAGCACTGAAAGTGCCCCCAGACACCAGTTTCAGGAGCGCTGCTCTGGCGCCCCAGGCGACGCTGGTGTTCCTGGGAGGAGAGGGGCGCCAGGCCAGGGAGTGTAGGGGGGCCCGGCGGCTTTAAGGGCACTTTCCATTGATTTTTCTTCAAGTTGCCAGTTGGTCTTGAAGTAGACTGAGCCAAAATTCTGGAATTACTCACATAATCTTTTTTATTCCATCATGTGAGTAAACATGGGGTCTGGGGCAGATTTCCATGGGCACGTCCATCAGGCAGTGATTTTCTGAAGGTCCCAAAGTGGGAAGTGTGGGCGGTTTCTTTCTGAAAGAAATTACAGTTAGCAAGACATTGGACAAGTTTATAACCTAGAGCCCAGTGGTGGTGGATGGGGTGACGCTTCAAGACCCTTCCCAGTGAGGTAGCCTCTCGTAGGGGGACGGGCGTCTTGCCCGTCCTACTTGGGGCCCCTGGTCTTTTGTCTCTGCCAGAAAACAAAAGCGGGCCCAACTTGCCTCAGAGAATTTACTCATTTGTCCAGTCGTGTACAGATATGGAATAGTCTCCATGCTGCCCCACAGTGATAGACTGTACTAGAAAAGTCTTGGAGAAGCGATGGGTTTAGAGCACTACCTTTATCTTTATACTGACTGCTTTTGACTTCTACACCAGCAACAGAGAAGCTGAGGCACCTGCTAACTGTGAGCTGCAGACATGGAAGGCTCGTTCTTCACAAGAAATGAAGTGCATTAGGTTTATGACTTAGAGCGATTGCATCCTGAGATCTGGTTTAGGGCGAAGTGGGCTTGGGGCAGCTGACCTGGCATGGGGTTAGAGGAACTGATCTGGCCTAGAACATTAGTGGGAAGGGGCCTTAAAAGCCACGTGGTTAACCCCTTCATAGCCTGCTTTAATCTCTGATGCAGTATTCCAGGCTCATTGGCACCCATGCTTTCCTTAAGAACTCAGGTGGATGGGAATATCACTGATTTGTGAAGCAGTCCATTTGATTTTTGGTCAGGTCTGTAAAATTCTGTCATTGATCAGAAATCTTCCTTATAACTCCAGTTCATTGTTCAGGTTCAGCCCCATAGAGCTACTCCGAATGGATCTAATCCTTTTTCTTCATGGAAGCCCTTTACCCGTTAACCTTGTCTTGCTAAGCCTGCTACTCTAAAGGCTAAATATCCCCAATTTGTCGTACTGTTCCTCGTGCTACATGGAGTCCAGGCCTCTCTTTTTTGATTTCCGTCTCTTTGTACTCCAGTTTGCTCATATCTCTTTTAAAACTCTCTTTTATTTCTAGTATCACTTTTAGTGACATAAGGAAATTGTTACTTCTTTTGATATAAACTCTGTATTTCTATTAATGCAGCCAAAGATTGTGATAGCCTTTCTGCGATTCAGTTTTTGCTCATAATCACGTCTTTTAATTAATCAATTAACTAATGTCCCAATTTCTTCTTCCAGATTTTGGCACATCTTACATCTAAGACTTTTTTGAATTTTGAGTTTGTCACAGAGCATATTAGCTGTCTCTCTCAGTTCTTTGATAAGCTTCGATTTCGTTCCTTCAAGTTTTTGATAGGAATGATGATAGAATTGGGACAAGAGCAGACTGCTGTGACATCCCAGTAAAAACCTCCCTCTGCCCTGGCTGGTGTAGCTCAGTGGATTGAGCACAGGCCTGTGAACTAAAGGATTGTGGTTCGGTTCTCAGTCAGGGCACATGCCTGGGTTGCAGGCCAGTTCCCAGCAGGGGACTCACCAGAGGCAACCATACATTAATGTTTCTCTCCCTCTCTCCTTCCCTTCCCCTGTAAAGATAAATAAATAAAATCTTAAAAAAACAAACAAAGAAACAAAAAACCTCCCTCTGGATTATCATGGACTCCTTTTCTGGGAAATCACTTGCCTTTTTCTTGTTCATAAGAACTCAGGATGATAAACTTTGTCAAAATCCTTACTGAAGTCATGGTATCAATACAGCCCTCATATTTCCCAACCACCCCCATTTTCCAAAAGAAAACCCTCTCAGGCGGGGTTGGCAAACTATGGTCTGAATGCTAGATTTGGCCCATTGCTTGTTTTTATAAATAAAGTTTTATTGGGACACAAGCCTATTCATTTATGTATTACTGCTGATCACTTTTACACTACAGCGGTAGCGTAGTTACTACAGAAACTGTTGGCTGGCAAACCTAACATATTTACCAGCTGGCCTTTCACAGAAAATGTTTGCCTGTCTTTGCTTTAGAGTAGGTTGAGAGTGGCCAGGCCAAACTTGTAATGTTTTGATGGGAGATCAGTGTCTGCAACAATATTTGTTGGGACCACTAAATTAGTGGGTATTTCTGGGTATGAGGCTAGGGACCCAGGAATCAGCTGTCTTGTGTTTAGCTCTGGACTACAATTCTGGTCTCAGGTGATTGTTCATCAGCCACAGCTGTGCTTCAGAGCAATTGCCTGAGCTGCGGTAAAGATGCCCTTTGCAGGTATCTTACTGAGGGGCTGGGACAGTCGCCTCCCTTTCTACTGAGAGGGGAATAAAGTAAAGCAGGTTTGGCTTGGTGCTTCCCAACGCTGGAAAGTGTTTCTTAGCTAACAAGGAAGCAATGACTGAGGGGAGAAATGATTTGACTAGGAAATGATAGGGCTTTTACTGACCGGTCCCCCTTCTTTCAATTCTTCAGCAAGATTTGTGCTTTCTGCTGGTGTCTGGCCGGACAGGGAGGCCAGTAGGCCGAGCTGTGAAGTACAGCATCGTAGGAGAGGGGAATCTGATCGGTCCTCAGGTTTACATCACCGCAAATGGAGCTGTCTACATCCTGTTTGGACTTGGTAAGAAGCAAGGCTGGTTTGTGCTGCTGCTCCCCACTGCTGTATGTGATCGGGTTTCTTTTGGGAGACGGGGTGAAGGCTTGGGGATTGCTGACACCAGCCCTTTCCTTACTTCCTATAGTAGGGGCTGCTCCCTGCCCCCACCCACTGCAGGTTATTATTTTTGCTTTCCCTTGCTGCCTTCTGTAAAGAGAGGACTCTGTGTTTAGCATCTGCATATTCACTTCCTGGTTCACTCTGTTTTGGACCAGTCTGGGTGGGCTGTGTTAGGCCCTCATCCTGGGAGAGTTCTATCCAATTCAACTTCTCAGTGTTGCTCTTCCTGTGGTGCTAGGAAATATCCAAGCTGCCGCCCTGCGGGACATTTTTGTTCAGGCCCAAAATCGGGACAGCTCACCACCTTCTCTACAGAGAGAAGAGCCGGAGTGGGAAAAGCGAAGATCTGTCAACCTGTCTGAACTGATTGACATTTACAGGTAGGGCCTTGTCATTGGGGTCTCCTAAGCTGTCACGTGCCATGGAGTCCCTGAGTTCGGTTGGGCTGGTGAATGTGTGGGCAGAGTTTTGGGGAGAAACAGCGATAGCCTTAATATGCCATTTTCTGGTCTGGTTAAGTGAGGGAGAAATTTTCTTTTCTTGATAACATGATGGGTCAATGGCTGTGATGTGTGGTCCCTTTGCACACAGATTGCAAGGAGAAATATTTTTTAGGTTCTGAGTCGGTGAAGCAGAGCCAGGCTGGAGGGCCTTCAGGCAGGGAGACAGAATTACTTAAAATGACTGTAACACTGGGGAAGTGTCTGCCCTGCTCCTCCTGTGTTGTTCTCTGAGTTAGAGGATCCTGTTGGCAGAAGCGAGGACAGTCATCCATGAAATCTTATTTTTTTTGTTCTTGTTTTTTTTTAACTAATAGTATGTACTTTATCTGTCATATGCAGCAGATTTTACCCATTTAACCCTAAATCTGGGTAATAATTGTTTTTATTATTTTAATACTAGAAGTTTCAAATCATTTTCTAGCATTTCCTGAGGCAGTATTGTGTTCCAGTGAATTTGACAGATGGGATATAGAATGGTTCCAGCTGCACAGAGACACGATTTGATAAAGTGTGTGCCAGGAGTTGCTGTCCAAGCTTAATGACACGTTCAGGACTCCTGTCCGGATCTCCGCCCCCTCCCCTGTTCTTTTTGGCTCTGATTTCTTTCCCAGAGTATCCAGCGTGAGAGGCATGCAGCACTTCTGTGAGTTCCTTATGAGCTTGCGTGAATTTTCTAGGGACCTTGGTTTCTAACGGTCAGGAAAATGATACTGAGCTGGAACGACAGACTTCCCCCAGGTGGGAGGTGACTGCAAGAGTCCATACAAACATGTGCACCGAGAGAAAAAGTCCAGGCCAGTGGGTCAGGAAACTCAGTTAAGCGGGAGACTGACTGTTGGTCTTGGTGATTCAGCGATGGTGTCGAGCAGCTCCAGATGGTAAAGGCACCGGATTCCAACTGCAGCAGCCTCCTGATTACCACCCGACAGTCCCTGGTCCTGCTTCGAGGGCAGACGCTCACGCCATACTGGACACTGAGACTTCGCGGTCTACACAGGTATGCAGTGTGCTCCTTCTCCTGTTCGCCGTTTTGACTCACTTTCCCATGTTTAAAAACTGCCCAGAGCAATTGTTTGCTGTCTGGAACTGAGGCAGAAGGGAGGGGAAGAGTTCATTGTTTTCCTCTTTTCCTTATTCACTGTCTATCACTTACTTTCTTCTCATTTGTAGCCAGCCTACTCCTGGATATTTCACTGATGATCAGGTGTTAGACTTCCTTCTGCAGATGGAGGATGGAGTTGGGATGAAAAAGGTAAAACCTCGGGACTCAAATCAATCAAAACTTATATAAACTGTACTTTGTGTGCAGCCCTGCTCGAGGCATTGGGAGAAATAAAAACAACCTAAAAATATGGTCCCTTCCTTCAATATGACTCAAAGTCTAGCAGAGTGGATAAAGTGAAAACTTAAATTCACGCTAAAATCTGCAGCATTGGAAGCTTTTCTAGCTAACCTTCCTGCACGGGGATATCTTGTCCTGGATCCTAACGTGCAGTTAGGCCACTGGAGCCTTGCCAACACCGCCTCTGGGTGGGAAAGGCAGGCATCAATAAATCATCCTTCAGTGCACACCATCCACATCCGAGATTCCAGAGACGGCAGGGCATCCAGGGCGGCTGCGTTGTTAGAAAGGGCTTTCTAAAAGAGGGAACGCCCAGCGGGGTCTTGAAAGTTGAACTGTATTTCTGTGAGGAGGGGGTGGGTGGGGAAGCATGCCAGGGCTGGCGCCCGAGACAGGAGGCCCAGAGACAGAGCCATGTGGCGTGGCCCCAGGACACTGACCGCGTGAGGTTTTTACATGGGGGGGCAAAACCTCTGATTTCATGTGGGGTTGCATATTGTGAGGATAGAATGGCCGGACAGATAATGTTCATTTCTTTAACATTAGAAGCAGCATTAGAGTTTTAAAAATTTCTTTCTGATAATTGACCAAGCTTTTTGCTTTGTCTTCACTGTAAAATATGTAACTATATATTGCGTACTATTCCCTGAGAGAGAATTCAACACACGGTTCATCATCTGCTCTAATGTGTGCCCAGTTCTGCGCTGGTTACCCAGGTGATGTCTGTGGAGATGCGGCCAGAAGCTGAGGCCACGGGCCGTAGCGAGTAGTCTCTGGGCGCCTGTTGGCGCACCGCTCTGCCGCATCCTGGTGGGTGTGGTAAGGAGGCTCACAGTGCCGCCGGGTGTGGAGAGCAGGTCGAGTGCAGGGAGTCAGGAGACGCTTCGCATTGCCCAGGGGTTGGGTGTGCAGAATCATGGGCGCGGAGAAGAGGTTTGCAGGGTGGACAGACAAGGATAGGGGAGGGGCGTTCCCGCCAGAATGAGCTTAGCTGATGGAGGGTCGTGAAGGCAAGGCTGCAGAATTGGGATGAGGCGTGGACGTAGCAGGTTATTTGGTCACACGCAGAGAACGGACCTGATGTTATAAGAGTCATTTCAGGGAGAGTCTTCCAGCGGTGCTGTCCAGGAGAGAAGCAATGTCTGGTTGTCTTTCAAAGGAATTTCAGGTAGAGATTGAAATTTTCATTGGCATTCCTGGCAGGGCTGGGGGAGAAGGGTAGGTATAGTAGGTTGGTTGAAGGCTGATAGGCTGAGGGTTAGGACTTGGGTTCTAATCCTGGCCCCACTACTTGGTGAGCTCGGGCACATCAGTTTCTGCATCTCTAAGATGGGTCACAAACACCACTGCCTACTGCCTTTGGGAGGTTATTGTGACAGTTAAATGAAACAATAAGTGTGACTGGATGACATCGTTTAGTGCAATGTCTCTAGACTTGTTTTCCTCCCGGGACTGTCAGAAGGAATCTTGGATGGCTAGCCTGCGCCCTCTGTGCGTGCTTGGAGGGGTTCATCTCCAGGCGGTTCTGAGACCTTTGGGAAGCAGAGTCTGAGCATGGGCAGAGGAGGGCAGGACGTGAGAGCCTGGAGGAGTAGGGCAGGCATGTGGACAGAGGTGCAGTCCCTTCACGCACTGAAGGACAGAGACGCGGAGGAGAAGGACGTGGGGCTGCAGGGAGACGGGTCAGTTCCTGGGGGGTTTTGTCCAGTGACAGGCTCGGAGGAGTTTGGGGTGAAAGGATATGGAAATGCTGCCGGGGATCGTGCATTCAGTGTCTTTCATTATCCTTTGAGAGATTCACCAAAGGAACAAATTTTCTCCTGTTTTTGCCTGTTTAGACCGTGGTCTTCTAAATTTGGGACTGTCCTAGGGCTGAGCCACGTATGCCGTGACCCCCTTAGTCAAGCGCAGACGGCCCTTGGCCCAGAGTGTGGGACCAGGCGTTGCTGCCGCCGGGGAGGGAGGCAGCAGGGATGGGGCACTGCCCTGGTCTCCTGGTTCCAGCCCCGCCACTGTGGACTGGCTCTCTGTCCGAGGACTGTCCGTGACGCAGAGCAGTCTAGGTACTGCCCGCCTCCGAGCCTTCGTTTTCTCATCCGTGAAACGAGAGGGGGACTAGATGCTTTATACTGTTCCCTTCCCACCTGAGAAGTCTGTGGTCCTTTGAACGCTGTGGAGTGGGAATGGGGGCTGGAGAAAACTGGGTCCTGGATCCTGGTCGTTATTAACGCTTTGGGAACACCCGATTTGTTCACATCTAATAAGCTCAACCTGTCGATGTATGCTATTTGGATCTGTGTGTGTGTGTTGTTTTCTTGGCCTGCGGCCCTTCTGAGGACGGGCTGTACCCACTGTCGTCTTCTCTTTACAGGTGATGGTGGTGGACGGGCACTCTGGCTCTGTTACTTGGAATCACAGTGTTCCCTGTCACATGAAACAGACACCAACCTCCTCAGCGGTTACTTCAGACCAGAAGTCTGTCTTCCTCTTTTGGGCTGAGGGGCTGTCAGCCACGTCTCCCAATTCCGTGAGTGGCCTGGGGGATCCCTGGGCCCCTTTGTCAGATGGCAGCTGCCCTGCGGGGCTGACTGGCTCTGGAGGCTTTATGAGACCGGCCACACTTCCAGGTGGTTCTGGGTGGAACCAAGCAGCCTTTGGGCGAGTAGAGCAGGAACCTGCTTCCCTCTGAGCTCTGCTTCCTGCCTGTGCTTTTCCGCCAAGCAGCGTGAAAGCTGACAGCAGCCCCTTGGCTACTGGCTGCAGCGGTGGAAGGCTCGATAAAGGGTGCAGAGTCCTCTCGAGACCCTAGGGCCCCGTTTACAGATGCTTCACGGGTGCTGCGCTGTTGAAGAGGAAATGTGACTGGTCTGGAACGGGCAGGGGAGGCTTCATGGAGGGCGAGGCTGGGCTTTGAGGGGCATTTTCTGACTTGTGGTTTGATGAAGTTAGTGATTCGTCAGTATTTTGAACTCTGAAATAGGTCTCTTGTATCTGGGAGTTTCTCTCTCCTTGCAGTTGGGGTCAGGGCTCAGCATTTGAGAGGAATGAGTAAACTCCGCGGTCTCCTTTACCCTCTTCATCCAAGGGCCATCACGTGCGGGAATGCAGTGACTTTTGCTTTTCCTTTTTGCTTCTCCTCGTCAGGATGTCATCCCAGGAATGGAGCCATCCAGCCTTTACCACCTTTACCTCCTGCATCCAGCGTTCCCTTCCATTCTTCTGGATCTGGCCAATGCCACAGGCACAGTCACAGCTTCAGAGGGTGAGTCCCAGCGATGGTGGGAGTTTGTGCTGGCTGGGTGTGAGGACACACTGCCCTGCCAAGGGACAGAGGTATGCTTTCAGGTGACAGCAGGGGGTGTGCTGAGTGAGCCACTTTTGTTTTCCCGGGTGTCCTTGGTGCCCTGGCCCATTGCCAGAGCGTCCCCTTGGGAAGAGCACCAGGCTGAGTGGGTGAGGACCTGTGCCCTCGGTACCCTTGGGATCTGCGGCCAGCGGAGGGGAAGGTGCAGTCCCATTCCTGAAGGCTTCTAAGGGTGATGATTCATGCATCATGCACTCAGCAGGTGTTTGTTGAGCATCAGTGGTACGCCAGGCACAGCACCAGGGGCTGTGAATACAAATAAGAATAGTTTCTTGACCCTTTAGGAGCCCACGGCTTAGAATGTTTCCTGAGGGCATTGGTTTAGGAGACTCTCCTTTGCTGGTGAAAGGAAACATGCCCATTGCATAGAAATGGCAGAAAAGTCAAAGGAAACAAGAAAAATGGCCCATACTCTGACCACTGAGCACCGCCATTAAAAATGAACTATTTTTTAATATCACCATAAGATACTGTCATTTGGTGAACATTTAATAGTGGTAATTAAGAATCAAGATCATTTTTATTGCAACACCTATTTTAAAGATGAGGCAAAATAAACACTAGGGTAGCAGCTTACGTGACCACAGACCGGCAGTCTAGAAATTCTAGTTGTGCTCACTTGTCACTACAGTTAGTGTAGCCTCTGGTTTCCTGATCTGGGGCTTTCTTAGAAACGGCTTTGGAGAAGAAGTGGTACAAAGACCCAGAAGAATGCACTGCTTTGCTGGCACCCAGTCCTTCACCACTGTACACCCGCTGTTTAGCTCAGTGCCTTGTGTCTGTTGGGTGCTCAGTAAATTTCTTATGTGAATTATGAAGGAGTAAATGAACTAATGAATCTAGTCGCTGAACCAAACCACTCTACTGTTAGTGGAAGTCTTCTGTCCTTATTAACTGTTCCTGTTTTTGTCCTTCCTCAGTTGGAATTAACGACCTCTGGAAAGATGCCTTTTATGTTACCAGGACAACGGGGCCCAGCTCCAAGGGCCACCCAGCACCCCTGGTGGTCAGCAAGCTTAGTCTACGGTGGGCACTGATGGAGGGCCAGATGGTCCAGCTAAAGGAGACCACCCCCAAAATTGGCCGTGGGGAGCTGCGAAGATTTCTCTCTCGAATCAAGTTTGTTGATTCTCCCGCGCAGGTGAATAGCTTCTGACACAAATATTTGGTTACTATTGAGGGTTTATGACAAGTTCTGCCACCTCCAATATTGCTCTTTAGAAGAGAGAGGGAGGGAGAGTGCGCCTGTTTGAGTAGTTACGTACCAAGAACTAGTCGTTTAGGACTGGCGCTATTTTCTAAGGGTGCTTCGTCACCACTGAGAAATGGTACTCAGCTCCTTTCAGCTGGAAATGTGGTACCGTCTCCCTCAGGAGACATGGGGAAGGTGGGGTCATGGTCTTTATTGTACCAGGAACTGAAGGAGTGGATACTGCTGCCATTTTCTGAGTAGGGGCTCGTGATGCTAACATGTGGGGTTTGGGGCAGTTGCATAGAATTATCTTGCTCAGAATGCTAAAGCCCCTCCTTCCCCCAAATACTATGGTCCTAGTTCAATATTCAAGAGCTTGTCATGGAAAAATATGAAGTCTCTGGGCCTTCCGGGGGGCGTCTTATGAGCTATTGAGGCTACAAAAAGGACAGGAAAATAGAGGCTTTCTCCACTTCCCTACTGTGAAAAAGATTAAAGTCACTGATACTCTCACCTTTCTGCCTAGATCTAGTCTGATGGAATCTTCAGTTGGAGCAGAAGTGAACAGAATGGATACTGTCCCTCCCCTGTGAGTGCAAAATCAGTTCTTCGGAGAGAAGGAAGATGTCTTCGCCTCACCTCACCACCTCCGTGGGTGCTGCAGAGCACTGTGGAAGGCACTCCGGCGCTCTGACGGCGTGAGCCGTGTGGTCGGGGTACTTCACCTACTTTTTCAGTCTGTGCATTAACCCCCTCCACCAGGTACTTTGTAGATAACGTGGAAATGTGAATCTTATGTTTATTTTTTTGTATGTCTAATTTATAAACTCTTTCTTGGAAATTCTAGTGAAGTTCACTGGAACATTTTGTTTTGCATTATGCCATGTGTGTATTTTTTCAGCATTGTGATGAAATGTTTTCTAGATGTGTCCCGAGCTCCAGGGACCCAGTTTCTTGTCCTAAAATACATCTGGTTTGTTTGATCACCTTAAAGCTTCCACATGGCCTCCATCTGATTTTTAGGGCCACTCATCATTTCTCTCCTCTCCCCCCGCCTGTTCCTCGGCTGCTTCCCAACCTTCGCAGCAGAGAAACACTGAGAGCGGGAGACCGAACCAGCTGCTAAGCGTTTCCACCCCTTCCTTGCCTTGTGCATCCTGCCGCCTCACACTTCCATGCTTATATATTTAGCGACCATACAATAACCATATTCCTATTGTAAAGGGAGCAGAGATGAGGTCCATATGTCACCATGTGGTTTTAATTGTTCTGCTGGTCATGATCTTTTTTTATTGTGGTAAATGTGTATGCTGTGCTCAGTTTAGAGGAAAACTGAGGTCAGGAACAGTGGGGGCAGATATTGTTCTCTCTGCTTCATCGCTCGCTACTCTGCTTTCTTAGCATCTTCTACTAGCTGTCCTCCTTACTGCTTCTGTTTTGCTCTTTTATTCAGGGATATTTTTGCTTTGCTTGCATGAGAGCAAAGCTGTTTTTGGACTTTTGTTCTTGCTCGAGTCCGGTATGCAGCCAGTGTGCCCTGCACTTCTCCTTTCTTGTAGAGCCTTCAAAGCACTGTATTTTGAGGAAAACTTCCTATGTGAATACTAGAACTTTTATAATTGGTTAGGTTCTTTAGAATTTCCTCCAGCGATTCTCCCTTCCCCTGTATAAATATATAACTTACATCAGGTTCTCTCCCAAACTTCGAGGTCATTGTTTATTCAGCAGAAGACCCCACATGAGCTGGAGAAGAGCCACTTTCCTTCTTGAATAATGTGGATAGGTCATCACTGAGTGCAGCTCAGGTTCTCTCTTTACTAGAGCCTGCATCTATTTAGCTTATGTTCATAAAGGAATTCCAGAAAATTTAGAGATTACTGAAAATTAGGGACCCTAAATTCAAGGGGTATAAATGTTGCCCCTCTGGTAGGCATTATGACATAACAGAAGGCTGGTAGCAAACTCCCCCCAGGCACTAGCCCGGCCTACAGGTTGGCCTTGCCAGCTTTCTGGACACCTTGCTGCCGTACGCCTGTGAAAACAGATTTGGTTTTAACACTTTGGATGGCATGCGTAGGGGCACGTGTAGGTCAACTTATTGTAAACTTGGGGCCATTTATAGCATACCCAAGAGTGTGGGGATGATTCCAGATGTACTTCTAGGGTTTGAATCTATTTGGGTAGAAGAGCCTAGGATCCAGTTCAGTCTAGTAGAGGACTCTAAAGACAAATTTATAGTTGACTGAATAGCTAAAACTTGGGCGGTGGTGCCGTGGCCTGGGCCAAGCCCTCTAGGCCTAAACTTGGTTCTCTACCATGTCGAAGTTTTCTGGGAAGGCATCCACTTTAGGCAGGAGTAAAATGTGAAGATGTTTTCCGAGGACCGGATTTGGGGGGATTGTTTCGGGCAGAAGACTGTATTTATGCTGGGCGAGCCCCAGAAACGTACAGGAAGCTAAAATAACATAGTCCTTAAATTCTTCATGGTATATTTGCTAATTAACTTAACCTGGATTGTTTTGACTGTGATAAGTTTGAATCTCTTTGCTAAAAACATAGTACAAGCTCTAGGTGTCTTCTTCCCCTTGCAGCGAGTACAGAGGGCGGAAATGGTGGCAAAGATTGAGGAAGCTCCATCTGACCAGCGCAGGTGCTGGTCTCTTGTCCATTGTATCTCTAAACTTCCTTTTCCTTGCTGGCACTCATCCATCCAGATTTCTTTCTTCATTCCCAACATGGCTTTGCCAGCAAAGCCAATGTGACAACTACCTAGAAGTAGTAATGACTTCTGCAAATGCAGGAGTCTTTCTCCTCCCAATCTGTTCTCTTTTCTTCCCTCACAGACCTTCCCATCTATCCTAGATTACGTTCTCCTCATCCCCCAGATGGTCTCTACTCTCCCTTCTAGTGTGGTATGATGGTACCAACCCCTTGAATGTGAATTGCAATCCTTATTGCCCACGTTAAAGAAGAGCCAGCTGGTATATTGTCAGGGAGCACTATTTAAAATGTGAATTGTTACTGAACAAATAAATACTGTGTATGGGAACATGTGTGTGCCATTCTCATTCTTCTTAGCTGTGAAGGATGGTGTGTTTTCCCTTGTGGATGGATGAGAAGGCAGGGATCCAGAGAGGGGCGTATGCGGCAGCCTCGTTCACCGGAGACGTCTCCTGGGTGGTTCTCCACTGGGGAACCACGGTCCTGTCCACACAGCCTCAGCAGGCCATTCTTGGAAGTGGGCCTGTCTCTGCATGGGGTGGGAGACTTCCCATGCACTCACATCTCCTAATGGCTTCTAGGATGATATTTAATTAAACTCTTATTGAATGTCCACTGTGTGCATGTAGAAAGTGTGATAGACAGGGTGAGGGACATCCAGTGACCATGTCCAAGCTCCTAGGAGTGTCTTCGTCTCCCCTCCTGTGACTCCCAGGAAACTCTGGTGCATCCTGGGAAACCAAGCCGCAGTCACTGACTGCCAATCTGCCCCCCTCCATTTCTCCAAGTCCCAGACAGGTGACCAGAGTGGTAAGCCCCTAGATGGCAAGAGCTGCATTTTACTGCTCTTTTTATCTCCGTTGCTTAGTGGAGACCCAGCACATAACAATCAGTAAAGGAGAGAAGTGAGTGTGTGAGACAGGTGGGTGGTGAAAGGTGACAGAACTGTAAGAGGAAAGGGAGCAGAGGGACCCAGGTGCCACCCCCTGTCCTGCCCCCTGAACTTGTACTTGAACATACCCTTGTTCTTAACCTCTAAAAAACCATTCTCAAGAAACAGACTTTGGCTTGCTCACGTGTTGATAACAAACATGTAAGGTTGGGCTCAGCCTGCTCTCCAAGCCCACTTACTCCTAACACTGTTCTTCCACAGGTGACCCAGCCAGCTCTTCTTTTAACCCCTGCCTGGTGCCTTGTTGGAATCTCTTGTTCTGTAGCTCCGCATAGAAGTCAACCCCTTCGGAGACAGAGTGGATGGGCTGATTGTGGTGCTGGTGGTAGCCGGGCCATGGGCCCCTGGGGTGGGCTGCGCCTGATGCCTGTTGGAGGAAGCACTGGTGGTGAAGCGGCACGCGACTCAGGTTTCCTTGGAAGCTCTCACTGTGCTTGCACTTGAACTCCAGCACCAGCTTGGTGTATGTGTTGGAGGTGGTGACAGCTGATGCCATGCAGCAGGTGAAGGAAACCCAGGCCACGCTAGGGACAAACATACAGAAAAATTAGGTGGACAAAACATCTATGGGGAATTTACACAATGGAATACTACTTAGCTATAAAAAAGAAGAAAATTTTACCCTTTGCAACAGCATGGATGGACCTGGAGAGCATTATGCTAAATGACATAAGCCAGTCAGAGAAAGACAAATACCGTATGATTTACTCATGTGGAATCTAGTGACCTGAACTAACGAGCAAAATAGAGACAGACTCATAGATAGGAGATTGACAGCTATTAGGGGTGTGGTTAGGGGGTGCAGAGACTGAGCAAAAAGGAAAAAGGACTCGTGGACGTGGACCACAGTGTGGTGATTGCTGGGAGGAGGGGGTATAGGGACTAAATGGTAATGGAAAAAATACAATAAAGATTAAATCAAAAAATAAATAAAGTACACACATTTATTGCTATATAAAAGAAAGAAAAAAGCCTGTGATTCCTTCCGACTAGTAAACTGGGCTGATGCCTCCTGGGCATTGAGGGCCCTGGCTGTGCGGTCTCCCACTGCTCTGCGGGGAAAGCACTGTGGGCAAGAGGACTGGGGTCATCTTTCTTAGTAGGGTGCTTCCAGACGTCTCGTGGTAAAAGAGAATGAAGCGTGTAGTATTAAAGTCAGACTAGAAGTTTAACGGATTCATTTTCACTGTGGTCTTTGTACTAGGTGTGCCTCTTTTTTGATAGAAACACATGAAACTTTTTTGACTGCTGTTTCTCAAGCTGCGGTTACCTTCATATCATCTCCCAAGGTTCCGTAGACCCGTAGCTTGGCTGTATACAGTGGACATGGCCCAGTGTGATACCTTCCTCTTCCGTCTCTCCCCACCCCACCCCCACCCCACCCCAGCAAAGAGTTTTCTCAGACGCTGGAGTGATCATCCCTCCTTCATCTTCCCTTGCTTTGAGTTTAGCAGTTTCGAGGGCCCACAAAGTTGCATCTCTGAGGGTCATTCAGGAAGCACTCACTGCAAATCGAGCTACTAGAGGTTGCACCAGTGGAATTTGCCTGTTACGAAAACAGTGTGGTTCTCGGCTTAAGGGAGTTTGTAATGGATGGAAGTGAAGCTGGAGATTAAGAGGAGATTAAAAGATTAAGAAGAAAAGGCATTAGGGAATCTTATCAAACAGTCCTCAACACCTGGCAAGTCAAATCCCTAAATCTCCCCAGGGTTCTGGGTAGAACAGGGAACAGGATGTTGTGAGGGATTCCAAGAGGCCAAACGATGGTTAAGGCCAGACCACAGGCTGGTACGTGCTTCTGTCTGCTGCCTCTGACAGACTGAGTAGACTCAGTTTGGGGGGGGCTTCTGATGGGAGTTTGGTAGTCTGAGCTCTATAGTTGTAATGCCAAGGATGGCTTGAAGACAAGCAAAAGGTGAGGAATGATAGGACTAGGAAATGAGCTAAACTGATACGGTGGCTAGAGGAGCAGACCAAAGACTCCTGGGTCAAATAGCACAGACTATACCAGGAGAAAAGGGACAGGATCTCGTAACAGACCTGCAGAGCTTTCCATGTTGCCTACTGTAGCATAGAGACTCCAGCCTGGGGCTGTGTCTTTTCAGCACTGGTGCTAACCCAGCCTGGGGCTGTGTCTTTTCAGCACTGGTGCTAACCCAGCCTGGGGCTGTGTCTTTTCAGCACTTAGCACTAACCCAGATAGTTCATGTGAATTCAGGTTGTACCTACGCATTGAATAGAGTGTTCTTCAAGGGAGAAAGTAAGACACTCTTAAGCAAAGGGACATTTACCTTGACTCTGTTTGTTTTGTCATAGTTGCTGCTTTTCCTTTTTAAAGAGAAATCTAAAATCACTGACTCCTTAGTTTTTTAAGGGTTAGAGAATGACTGTAGGGGAAGTTTTATTTATAGCACAGTTTGGCGGAATAAGAATGGAGACAGGCAGAAGTTACTCTTCATTATAGGAGAAGAGTAAGCCATTCATAGGGAATAGAATTCAACCCAAATTTCAAGACTAATTCTCCATTTCTCTGTCCTCCAATATCTGGAATCATAAAATATTCAAAATATAAGGCATCATTTTCATAAGCCATGCAAAATCAATTTCACTTCCCACGGGCAACATACATAATCAGGTCAAGAAGCAATTGCTGCAGTTGTATTAGCAGAAACAAACTGGACAACGGCCTCATAAAACAAGCTAGAGGGACCCTCTCTGAACCCCCGCAGAGGGTGGGGGAAGAGTGGGTGTGGCCTGATGGTCCGGCCCTCTGACTGCCAGGCTTCTGGGAGGAGGGAGAAGAGGAGGCCAAGGAAACAAAGTAACTGACTACTTGAGGGAGCAAATCAGGGAGCAATACCATTTGCCTTCATTAGAAAGTTGGCTGGGGGAGGGGTCAAAGTTTCAGAAGATGGGAAGCACTTACTAGAAGGCCCAGCCATAATTCCAAGCATGTGGCCTCCAGTCTTCTGGACCCAAGTTGACGGTTGCCTGGAAGACTTGTGAATACATCATATGGGCCACCATCCCCAGAAGGCCTACAGAGGGAACAGGAAGGCAACGCCCTCAGAGAAAGGCTGACGTTGCCATCTACAGGGAACGTGGTTTTAGAGCAACCTCCTCTTTTGTGTCCGGTGCAGCCTGTGCCCGTCACCCACGGGCCACCACATTTCCAGGGAGACTAATCTGTGATGGGGACTTCCTGAATGCAGATCTTTGCACTAGGATGCCCCCGACTTTAGGTTTAGAGCTATGGAGAAGGTGTGAGTCGATGCTGCACCCAGGGCCTGTGCTTCTTCCCACTCACACCCCTACTGGGAGCTTTATTCTTGACTATATATGCTTTTCTCTAGCCAACAGTCTTGAAAAGCTGTGTGTATGTCACAATTGAAAAGTAAACCAAGCTAATTTACATATTGAGAACATTTGCAAATAAAAAATTTCATGGCGTAAAGTACATACTGATCCAATATAACATTCCACATGTTATCTCAATTAAAAATGACAGATGCCTGCAATGTATCTCATGCCTCCATCGTTTATGCGGCCTTTGGGCTCCTCCTTCCTCCCCTCCGGGGGCAGACTGCAGCCTGCCAGCTAGAGTTTCAGAGGCAGCGGGGGACACCCACCTCCCCAGCTTTGGGGGCACTTACCCGACAGGACGGAGGAAAGGGCTGCAAAGGCACTCAGCTTGAGCCCACGGCCAGGGTTCCCAGTGACCAGTAAGTTTGTTAGTAGCAGGAGGAAGCTGATGAGTTCAAGTCCGATGTAGGTGAACTGGGCTCCCAGCGATAACCACAGGATCTCTGTCAGAAACCAGAGGGAGAAGCGCCGTCACCCTGCCAGTGAAGTGACTGAACAGTGGGCAAACATTTGGGCGTGAAGTTCAATGTTGCCCGTTAGGAGAGAAAAGCCTCACAGCATCAGAGAAGGGGAGGATGAGACCTGAAACCAGGTGGGAATGTGCCTTAATTTGGGGTTCTTTGCTATCACCCCACCACTCTCGCTCTGCTCAGTATCCGATATATAATCAAGTAAACTTGATTGACAAGACTGTTGAGAGATTTGAGAAGTCATCTGAATCTGGTAATACTATAGCTTTGCTGTTTATCATTTTTATTTTTTTTTCTTACTTAATTTTGGACAGTTTTGTTCCCTCCCTCCTTCTTGCCCTCCCTTCCTCCCTCCCCTTCTTCCTCCTATTAAAAAAAGTATTGGAGGAACAAAAAGGAAAAACCTAAGTTTTCAACTTGGTTACTTGGCAACAAGAGCAGGCTAGACTGCAGTGGTTTTCTGTTTGTGAGCGTGTTTGTCTCTGCTGCTCTGTTCCTGCATGTGAATGACAGTCAGCTCTAGAAGGAATCTGTGTCACCCAC